TCTGGGTCTCAAAATTGGGTCCTCGCTAACCTTACAAATATATGCAATATAAAATCAGACACTTGAAAGATGCCCACAAGCATTTTCCACCAAGAATTATGGGACAATATGCATTGTCTATCATCATCATCATCTGACTACTGATGACATGCTTATATGGCTTTTACTTTTCACTTTAGAAAAATCTTGCTGATTTTGCCTGGCCTGGCCTCTGGTTCTTCCAGACTATCTGGGAATTAGAAGAGACGCCATATTTTGGGACAACAGCAACATTCCTTCCTTTGTTCTCTACTGTTTCACAAAGGAATAATCAATCTACCTTCCATTTTCTCCATCCTGTGTTCTCATATAAATGTTTATGTGCCTAGTCAGTTGGATGCAAGGGGATGTTCATGAAAACAACCCCCCAACATCTGCTCCCTATGCTCCTGTTGTCTCTGATTTCACTTTTTGCTGTCCCACCACTTAGCCTCCATTGTGTCCTTCTCCTCCTCTGCCCTCCAGCTTCACCATGAGAGCTTACATGAAATCAAACACTTCCAGCTTGGCTTACATAATTTAACAGGTTGATCAAGACCATCTGTAGCCCACCGTCCACTTCCCGTCCCTATTAAATTTAATCCTTGAAGTATAATTTAAGAGTTTCTTGCTGATATGTATCACTTAATAATTTAAACAATGCTTCTCACATACATAGCAATTGCTAAATGAAATACAGAAATATGTATTTATCTTGCCAGTTTGAGAATCCTGAGCTTTCTGCCCTGTACAACTTGCCCAACTGTATGGTTCAAACCATGTGAAACTTGCTTCCTGAAAGCCACTCCTATGGGAATGTTAGCAACTAATAAAGCCTGCTTGGTTCCACTGGAAAAGAACACTCTAAAATTATTGGCAAACTTACTTACACCCTAGCTAAGACCACAACCGAAAGTCAGCCCATTTTTCAAATCTTAAACATGCCTGATGGTCTCAGAGTCTAATGGCTGATAATCAGTGCCCATACCAGGACCCCTGCTACTATCTTTCTGAATCTTGGTACATGAGATTTTACTCCTCAAGCCTGGCACCTGATTCTTGCTATTGGATACATGACTCTTGAGGATGGATGGATGAACTGATTCTGAACAAAATTAGCAATATTTTGAGTTTTTGCCCATTCTACAAACAAGACAAACAAGTGGCTCCTGTCCTAGAAAATTCAACCTCAAAATCGGACACAGCAGGCCTGATTTTATACCTGTTTTTACATTGGTGCAATTCCATATATATTTCCATATATTTCAGTAGAAACAGGATAATAATAACACGTCTAATAACATGAAAGTTGCTGAGGCTTCTTCATTGGTGGTGTTTAAAAGAAAATAAGCAGTGATGCTTAGGGCAACAGGGCAGAGGAATTCCTGCACTCCATAGCCCATGTGTATGCTGTGTACATGCTGACATCATGGTGCCAGATAAAAATCACACACATGGGGCAATAAGAACAGAATTCAGGAATTTCTGCTTAGCAGCCAAATGTCTCTACACTTGAGCTAAAAAGGATTATTAAATGTAATAATATTAGGGCCCTTGTCCTCTGAAGGTTGCAGCAACTAGAGGGAACATGTTCATGCACCCAAGTTGGTCGGACATCCCATCCTCCCCGAAATGTCCCTTCCAGCCTTAAACATCAATGAATCTGTGATGTTCCATGACCTGAAATGCAGCATGTAGTACCTTCTGGCTGACAATTAAAGGCTAAATTGAGGAGGTTAGATTCTGCCATCCCTTCTTTTTTAATAAAAACTGATACCGTACAGTACATCTATTAAAAGGAATAATTGACATCTGTCTGTAAGAGCTTGTAGGGACAAGAGGGTACCCTAATTCAGACACAATAAGATAGATAAATCAGAAATATTTAATTTAGGTCCAGGTAACAAATATACCATCATAAGGATTCATCAATGGGACAGTGGACTCCTTTTTTGAATTTCAACAAATAAATGGCATTGCCATGCATTGTATCACTAGTGGGGCTGGGGGAAAAAATTTCAGCTGAATTGTTTTTGGGGTGAAAAATGCAGATTTGGTGATACTGATTTTTTTTTTAACTTTTCAATTTGCTGAAAATTTAGAAACATTTTGGATTTTGGTTTAACGTGAAATGTTTTTTCCCCCCTCTCAATATTTCAGAATTGCCAGTGAATCAAAAAATCCAAAATTCACACAGCCATTTGCTCGTAATAACTCACGAAATTTTAAGTCAATTTATTCTTTTAACATTTTAAAAATTAACATTTCCCTCTTCACCTAAAAACATTAACACCTCCCTGTTCACCTTGCAGAATTTGAGTCATGTTTGAAACAGCTGCCTTGTTTCCTTCCAAGAGTTGATTCCTGGGCCCAATCCCATTAGGTCCAGTGTGCCTTCAGCTCCCATTGAGTCCAATGGGAAGGAAATGAGGTTGCTCAGCACCTTTCGGATCCTGTCCTCTACTAAGTTTTTTATTTCAGAGGTTAGCATTTGCTTTGTACTGAGGAAATTTTAAATAACAAAGTTCTTGAGTCAACTTTCCTTAAAATGGATGAAGATGTAGGCTCTCAAAGAGCAAAAATTATTTGTGAGTGAGCCTTTGCGTGTGCATTTGCAATGATGCTAAGGTCACTCAAACTCCAATCCTTACAGCTTTGAAAAGGACTGAGACCATGATTGCCCAAACAAATAGGTACATTACATTTCTTCAGGCTAAATATAGGAAATATTTTCTCCCTCTTATTGTAGTTTCTTTCTTATGTAACTTTAATGCAGTGGTTTTTTTCTTCAGTCCTACATTGTTGTTGATGATAAATCTGCTTCCCAGCCCATGCAGCATTAGCGTGGGAAAAGCGCTGTCATCCTACATTCTTTGCGCATCATTTCATATTTTCAGATAACTAGAATTACAACAAATAAATCTAGAGTGACACTGATGATTTGTGACAACCGGATAATATGCTGAAATACCCATGGGAGATCTGAATGTCTTTAAACATCATCGTTATACTAGTTACTAGTGTTGGGCAAACCTATAAAGTTTCAGAATTTGGATTTATTTGGATGATAATTTAAAAGTACACATGTATGACATTGGGAGTTATGTTGGGAATTGGCTAGATGATACTAGAGTATAATTGTTAGAGTTGGACTTTTGCAGCTGTGGTTTGTTCTTGGAAAAAAATCTCAGTTGTTGTGTTTTGCATTTTCAATGACAAACCCCAAAACAACCATAGTTTTGGTCATGGACTCTGAGGGAGTATTTGATGCTTTCCAAGTTTACTCTGCTTACTCATGATATTAGCAAGCTAAAATAATAATTGCTTTTTGCCCTTTAAAAAATTCTTATCTTGTTTTTAGGACTATGAAGGATATTAAAATTAAAAAGATGGAAGCTGCATGTGCATTGCTAGTATGCATGGAGGAGCATTCAGTAAAACCAGCATTGCCAATCATAGGTGCTGAACCTAGGGGTGGTGGGCGTGTGGCAGGAACCCCTGGCTTGAAGTGCTTTCCATCATATTCAGAGTTTACAGTTTGGTTCAGTGGCTCTCAACACCCCCTACAGTGGCTCTCAACACCCTATACAAATTGTTCCAGCTCCCCTGGTGCCAATATAAACGTGCATGTAAATATGCCCTATCATTGCCCAAACATACACAGGAACACAAAATAAACCAGTACTCAGCAAGCCTGCAACTCCCTCTGACATCCTCCCCTCCCAAGGTCCTATCCATGCCCCACACCGTTCCTGAAACTCATCTTCTCACACTCTAACCTCAGCATTTCTCATTTTTTCTTTCCACCCAGCCTGTACTTTTCCATCACCCTCCCCTCACCAGGTCCTGTACATTCCAAAGGACCTCTGTGAAATCATGGCATCTGGAGGGCAGTAGAGGGAGAACTTAACGAAATGCTATTTCCTGTATAGACACCCTCAGACCTTGTGACTCACTTTCCCCCCTTTCTCTGGGAAAATACATCCAAGACAGGTGACCCTCCTCTGTCAGTTTCTTTAGATAGGAGAGGTAATTTCAGACTAACCAATTTTAGCCTAAGAACATAACTGGGTTCCTCTTCTTCTGGGTCATGTTCACTCTATCGAGACTAAAATTGCAGCTTCTCTTTTGTGGCTTTGGGAATCTACAGATGTTTTCTCCTTTTTGTTTGTGGACTGCAAACTTAATTGTCCTGCAGTAGAGTTGGGCTCCGAGTAATTAACAAACCTGTTACCACTTCACTTGACTTCAAATGGCTCATATGCAATAGGCTGAGACTTGATTCCTTGGGGCAGTTAAAACCTCTTCCCACAGCACATGGAGTTGCCAATATATTTTAAAAACAACACCATACATTCTAATAATTACAATTACAACTATGGACAAAACAAAAATCAATAGAGTCCTATCCTGTCATAGCTACAATGAGCTGCTTTCCAATTAATTTATATCCTTGGGAGAATTTCACCCTACGGCTCTGCCTACAGCCCTTTATACCACTGTGGTAGGACTGTCTGTTGGGTATGGATTTCAGTGGAGTGGCCATGCAGTGGGGCTTCTGCAGCGTGGTGCTCAGAGTCATGGAGGTGCAGCTCTGTGCTGGCTCTGAATCCGGTGGCATGGCATGGATAGGGCTACGAATGGAAAAGCAGCTTGCATGTTGATTGGTGTGGAAGTAACTTACATCTCCAATCATTGCTGAGTTCCCCACGTAGAGCCCGATTACCTTGGCTTCGTGTGGGGAAGGGGGAATTTCACCCATAGGGTCTTCCTTCCCTGCATCATTAGGCATAGCTGTATGTACTTAGGCAAGCCTGGGCCTGTCTTTTGGCCAGAATGCTGTCTATGGTTTACAGAGTGCTGAGCAGATCAGCGCTGTCTAAATTTCATACCACCTCATCCGTGCAACTGTCAGCCCAAGTGCTAGTTGTTAGAGCACTGACTGAAAACAATTGTAAAAGTCACTGCACTGTCATACTCACTGTTTCTGTGCATTGTGACGAGTTCCTCTTCTTGTCCTTACTGGTAGGGTAGAGTAGCTTTTCTCTATCAGATTATTTTGTCATCCTACAGCATAAAAAACAAAATATGATGGGTATAATGGGGCATGTCTACACACTGTAATATGAGGGTTAAAATGTAACTTTTGTTTGAGATTGTAGCCACAGTGCATATACTGATCTTCTGCATTGTTTTAAAGGGATATTTTAAATCATCCTGTCTGCACGGAGAATAGTACGAGACATAAGTAAGAACGAAGCACTGGATGGCTCAGGGGATAGTAATAGGAAGTAGTAATATTTTTGACCAAAAGTTTCAAATTTGGGTATCAAAATTTAGGTAACTAAGGGTGAGATTTTTCAAAACTGCCTAATGGATTTACGTGCCCAGTTGCTGTTAATATTAAGGAGAACTGAATGTCCAAATCCCCTCACAGCCTTGAAAAATCCCACCCTAAATTTGCACTTAGGCATCTAAATACAAGTGGCTCAATTTTCAGAGATGCTGACGTTTCACGAGTCCCAGTGAAGTCCATGAAATCTCTGCAGGTGATCAGAACCTTTGAAATCAGCCCACTTATATAGGTGCCTAAATATAGATGCAGGTGGCTAATTTTGGGCACCTAAATTTGAAAATGTTGGCCCTAACCTCTAGGTCAGCAATTCAAATCTTGTCCATGTCAGTGGCCAAAATCAACATTACTAGGACTGGTTGAAATTTTTTTAAATTCCCAATTTCAACAAAAATGTCCATCAAAATCTCAGTGAGTAGAAGGCAAAAATGTTATGTGAAACTTTCATCCTGTTTTTCTACCAGCTGTAATATATACTACCAGACAGTTGTTCATCTGCCTATGTAAAAGGACATGATGGCCTCAGATTAGTTTTATGTCATAAAAAAGATCATCACAATTGAAATAAATTGGTCCCTCTTGTTGAATCCTTTAAAACTGCACTGGCCATTCCATTGATTTCAATGAGCTTTAGATCAGGCCCTATAGCATGGGGAATAATCCCGCACTGCCAAGGGATTAAATAAATGATGTAAAAGGTCCTGACCATGTCCAGTTTCTATATTTTTTATGCAAGATAGTAAAGAAATACTGGATGAGAGAGAAATGACATATAGATACAGACTCCATAATGCAAATGAGAGAACAAAGAAACACAATAAGAAAGAGGACAATAAACAATGCAAGGAAGAGGAAAAGTGAAGAAATATACAATATAAAAAAGAAAAAGAAAAAGAACAGAATGAAACTAACTAGATGAAAAGAACCTAGAGAAAGTCTAGGAAAATCTGGAGAAAAACAAGCAGGACAAAGCTTCAGAGAACTGGAAAATGAGATTGAGAGGAGAGAGAGAGTCAGGAATAAATAACTAAAGTTAGAAAATGAATTATGTAATTGAATTGGTGTTGGTAAAAGAAAATGACTACAAATATGGCCAAAATATTTAATGCCCTGTAAAATGCCAACTTCATGCAAATAACAGTGCCGACTGGTGTTTAGTATTTTTCTAGCTCCAGGACTCAGTTGACATTATGAATTACTGGCAATATAGACCAGAGTTCTACTTTTCCTTATTCAACTGTTTCCTGAAAATGCTAGTAATGGCAGTTTGCCTTTTCCTTGCAGATTTCAATGGGCTGCATCAATTTAAACCACCCATCGTGAACAGTGTGTCTTTTATTTCCAAATATGCTGCAGAAATCGAAAGGTCCAGAACCTAGGATGAGTTGTCTAATCAAACACAGATGATTTCAGTCTGGTACTTCTGCTCCAGTAAGCGATGACATTGAGGAAAAAGTACTGACTTTATTCAAGAAACATCATACAAGAAGCATCCCAGCCCCCTTTATGTCATATGGAAGCTCAAAGTGAGGTAATAATACATGGAGACTTTCAAACAGGCAGAATTAAAAGAGGAGATGGCAGTGATGGCTTCATTTGCCTCTAGGTTACTGACCTGAGTCCTTCCCAGTTTGCAGGATCAAAACTTAATACTACTTGGTGGTCTGTATGAAATCAGTTACTGGTCTCAATCCAGTTCCCAGTGGACTAGTGTTCACATTGCAAAAATCAGTAGTATAATGGGCACCCATTGACAATTTCCTGGGCAGAACCAGGAGAGAGGCCAATGAGTGACTTTAATTATGCTCCCTGGCTTTAGACAGTCATCCCGGGAGGTCATGGAGTAGGCACACTGGCTCAGAGAAAGCTCCACTGTAAAGCAACCAGCATATTAAATAATATCTGCAGGAACTACTTCTTTACTGTTATTACAGTTGATTAACATTTATATTGCAGTACTGTTTAATGCGGGGGTCACATGCTCCTCCAGATTTGCTGCTTGGATTGTACTGAGCATGATCATATGAACTGAGCATACTCGGTAACATCTGCTGAAGCCGCTGCCCTCACTCTATGCCCCTACTATCAGCAGGTCTGTGGCATCGCTGATATACTCCCATTCCTCTCTGCATTGATGCACAACAGAGTTTATGGTTGAGCCCTAAGATAATTTTTTGTGCTTTCATTCTAGGTTTTGTTTAGTATTTGGTTTCCGTTTCTCTCTCTGTGTGTGTGTGTGTGTGTGTGTGTGTGTTTTTAAGCTTATTTTTGTTAAGGGGCCCAGTGGCTGTCAGGCACTGGACACCAAATTCAATGCTTTATTATTTTGTTTTTATCATACCTGTTCACAGCAAACCATATAACATTGCATGCCAGCGAGGAAGCCATTTATTTCCAAGGAGACTTAGTTAGTTTGCTATTCCAAAAGCAATAGAATGGGAGTTAAATGCACTCAGGGGAAGTACATACTAGCCAGTTTGCAAGGTACCAGTTTGTCTGGTCACACACTGTCAAGCTGTTTCTATGTCAAATCTCCCCAGGACCTGCATACATTCTTCACACAGATGCTGTGTATTTTGATTTCCACCCCGCATAAATTCTCAACATAAACTCAAAGAGCCGTGCACATACATTACCCAAATTCTTATACAATGTTTCATTTCTTGGAAAAACAACAAAGTTCAAAAGGGGGATTTTTGCCCCTGTTTCTCAGTGGCTTCTGTTGGAGTGAACAAAAATAGCAGGTCTTAGGAGATCAAGATTATATATTAATCATAATCATACAAGGTGCACAGCATGTAAATGTTTTTCCACCCAGCTCCTTCAGAAGTTGTTAATTCCAATAATGTCAATGTTTGAGCCCAGTTTTGTACTTACAGATTGCCTATAGCCAAGAGTTCATGGGAAACACAGACTAAAAGAACAGCTAAATGGCTTCTAGCACAGTGCTGCTTATTTCAAAACAGAATTAGGAGCCAACAGGTTGATGGGATGTATTCTTGACTTAAGACAAGTTTATTATTTCAAGTCTCTTTAGAGAATTACACTGGGTTTGGTTGATAAAAATAGCATACAATGTGAAGACAAAACATGAGTAACAATACATAATCCTTTTTTTATGATTACCTTTGTTCATTAATAACCCTAAACAGAAATCTATTTTTGGGTCACAGTTATATTCACACTAATATTCAAAATGTTAACAAAATAACCAGATGTGTATGTTTGTGTGTCCATGAGTAACTTATATTCAATGTGAAAAACCAGTCTTATTGGCATAAGTTATAGGAGAAAAGAATTTATAAAGTAAAGTCAATGCCAAAAACTTCCATCTAACAAATGCCATCTCACGCAATGAAAGTCTCAGGTAACAGCAAGGCCTCTGTTTTATAAAAAGTGTATTTTTCATTTAATTATCAGTTCATAAGAGATGCTTGGCACATTCTTTGATAGGAATTATGGTATGTGCTTGCACCATTAGAAACAGACCTCACAGGAGATGTGGTATCATCAACGGAATTGTACAATTAACTCAAACAAACCATGGGCTCTTCAAAGTGCAAGGAAAAGTGCTGGTGTAGTTTTTATAGAATATCTCCCATAAACCTCACACACAAAAATTCTTTGGGATACAGAAGGATCCTGAAAAAGCTCACAATCCCCATTGTTATTCTATGTCCACTAGCTGTGTAAGACAGGGATGTCAGAATTCTGTGCAGCAATGCAGAGCTTTTCTTGGCCACCAGATGAGCTGGGTCCTATTAGATCCAACACAGGCACATAAAAGATTTTTGAAGGTTTCTCTGAGGCAGAGGAAACTAGGGGCAAAGACAGAAGGAAAACACTCTTGGCTGATGTCTCGCCTGCCACTGGCCCCCATGTCCCTCCCGGACCCCGATGCCCTTTGCCCAGGAGTTCTGCCCACTGCAGCAACCCACAATCTGGTCCTCCCCACCCAGGGGAACCCCCAACCCTCTATCCCCATCTTGCCTCAGTATAAGGCTACTGCCAGTCACCATCTAGCCCCCATTCACTGTGGCAGACTGCAGTGTACAAGCCACCCATCGCAGGCAAGGGGGGTTTGGATCTGCTGCCTCTGCCTCTGCTGCCTCTGCAGCCCTTGGGCTGCCCCCTGCAACCCCAGTACCTATTTGGCTTTGCACAAGGCCGGCAGCCTGAGGAGTTGCCAGGCAGGAGCTCCCCAGCTCCTCTCGCCTTTCCCCAGCCCTGCTCCACCTCAAGTACCCTAGTATGCTAACCAGCAGCCAGGCCCATCTCCCTCCACAGCTAGATGAAACTCTGATTGAGCTCCTGGCCCACAGCCTTTTATAGGGCCAGCTGTGGCCTGATTGGGGCGTGGCCCCCGCTGACACTGCTTCCCCAATCAGCCTAGGTTTTTCTATTCCCAGAGCAGCCCTCTCCCCAGGCTGTTTTACCCCTCTGGGCAGGAGCGGGGTGACCACCCCGCTACAAGGCATAAATACAGAACAGGATGATAAATGCCAAAGATCAGATTTGTTTACAATAAATTTTGAGGCAATCATACCACACCATAAGTGTCCCTAACAACGGATATAATGTCATGCATAAAATAAAAGCAATCATTTTGAAATAAATCCTAAATGCTATAAATTCAAGAAATCCACATTTGAGATTCTACTATGTCTGGAAATCAGTGAGATACAAATATGAATGCCTACTATCATTTTTACAG